TAGGAAATGCGTTTTTCTAAGGTACATAAACTTTTGGGATTGACTGCATAGCCAATACATCCTTAACTGACTGAGAGTATTGAATTTTTTTTATTCAGAATTCAATTATAGAGTATACAGTGATCTTCATCATATTGTCATCGATGTGCAATTAAATTCATGGCTGTTCATTAGAAGAATTTTATAGATAAAACAATATATTTTTTCATTGATTGATTATTTGGAAGCTAACGTAATAGAAACTTGTTTCTAATAATGAATATCGATCGATCGAATATTTATAGAAGAAGAGCAACTGAACATCGTCAGAGAAAAGAAACTGATGAACCCTATTTTATTACTTGTTCGAATTATTTGAACGAATGTACGGCAAGCGACTGATCCTGATATGCGTGTGTGCCTTTTGTAGGTAATCTTAAGAACGAGGACAGAGTTCTGGAATGGCTAATCAAACAGAAAAGTAAGGAGATTTCTAGGATGATGATTATTATTACTGGTGTACTGTTCTTTGTGACGTTAATCTCGGTCGTGACCATACCACCGGGCTACGAGTACAATACTCGCGGTTCACCCCGATAGCTCAACCATCGCCGTGATAGCGCGTTACTTTACGCTTGTAACGTCGACGCTTAAAGAACTATCTATAATGATGAACAGTGAACACAAATACGAAGTATGAGAAATAATTCACTTTTGAGTTTCTTTAGAAGTTTGCGAACAGTTCTTTAAGCGTTGAGAAGCATCAGACATCGGAAGAGAATCGGCGGTGAATGGCTGATACATTAGAGGCCGTTGCTCGGTTTTTTCATTTTCATTTCGAATTGAGAACAAGAACGAAAATTTTCGATTTAGCTTCTAATGATGCCGCGCGCGCAAAATCGCTCTGGCCAACTGACACGTTCACTATGCATTTAAATGCCACGCTCTTTTCATATATTTACAACGCGAGCTTCCGTTTCTTCTTGACTCCACATTTTTCTTTTTATCTCTTTTTTCTCCATCACTGGTCTCTTATCTCAAGTTACGTTGGATGAACACCCGTGTTATACGAAAGTGAACGTGGTCTAGATAACAAATTCGTACACGTTCATTGTGATACACGTAAATAATGTGATCCATTCTTAAACGCATGCTATCCCTTGGACCGAGAGGCCGTATCGATCACAAAAAACGTAGGTACACGCTCTCATTTCCGGTCGCGCTGAGTATTATCGATGACCCTGTTAATACGCAGGTGATGATGATGATGATGATGATGATGATGATGATGATGATAGTAATGATGATGATGATGATGATGATGATGATGATGATGATGATGACGATGATGATGATAATGATGATGACGATGATGATGATAATGATGATGAGGAGGATGATGAAGATGATAATGATGAGGATGATGACGATGAAGACGGAGACGACGATAACGACGACGACGACGACGACGACGAAGACGACGAAGACGATGATAACGACGATGACGACGACGACGACGACGACGATGATGATGATGATGATGATGATGAAGATGATGAAAAATCTAATAAAGCCCTGAAGAAAATCCTGGACAAAGGTAAAGGTCCGACTTCAACCGAGGAGGCCGAAGAGGAATTCACGTGAGAGATCGAAGTGTGACGGGCTTTGTGTTGCGCGATTCGAGAGAAACCAGAAAACGATATTCCCCCGCAGAGAAACAGAGCGTTGAGATGTTGTACATATTGCCAATTAGAGCGATCCGAATTGACCGTAACCAGCAATCTAAAACGAAACGGGGCCGCCTTGCCCGACTGTTCGCGGTCGAGCTGGTGGCTGTAGGGCGAACCTGCATGACAATTAAAATTCTCTTTTGTCTTTCTTATTTCTTATTCCCTTACTGACTCGCCCCGGTTTCCTTTCCTCGTCTCATCTTTCCGCCCTCTCACGTCCAGAAGTATTTAATCGGTCCTGTTCGCATGCCAGCCTAGTGACATCCCCTCGTCGATGGAGCTACGCGACCGAAATTCATTGTACATATCGCAATTCTAAACCGATTGCGTCTTGTTTGCTGGAAAAATTTACGCTTGACGTTGTTTCTTTTTTTATGTTTTTTCTCCCGTTGAGTCGAGGTAAGTAAACGATCGTCGTTCGCTGTTCCGTCGGTGGTACCGTAGCTCCAGAAGACCCCGACCGCACTTTTACGACCCAACAAACGAAATAACAACGATTTCTCCAAAGCGAGCCGATGGTTCCTGTTGTAGTTGACAGCTGTCGTCTGCAGCGAGCTCCGAGTCGAAGAGAATCGGACTGGCCTCCGCTCGAAAGAGCGAGGAAGTAACGGGTGGGGTTCGTCTCGAACGTCTTACCACGATTGATCACGTCGTTGCTCGCGCGATGTACGAATATCGAAACGTTTGGACACGGTTTAAAAAAATTAACGTGTTTCGACTTCGAGTATCTGAGTGGAGGCTGGTCCACGTTAAAACGTCTGCCCTGAAAGAGTCGTCGACTCGCCGCGAGATATTTTCCGTCTGTGAGAAACATGCACGTTTGGCTTTTGCTGCGCAATTGGGGTTGGAGTGACACGTTCTCATTGCACTAGTTAACGTCGAGATCTCACGAGTCAATCGAAAACCGATCAATGTTATCTCCGTCTAAATTTCTCTCTCTCTCTATCTCTCTCTCTTTATCTCCGTCTGTTTTTTTTTTTTATCATACTCCACATTTTCTCTAATCTATCTTCTCTGTCTGTTTGTTTCTCTGTCTGTCACCGACGTCCATCCTCCTTTCTTCCCGATCCGGATTGACTCGTGACGAGACGAATCAATCGGAAGCCTGGTAGGCTAGCCAATTTTTCTGACCAAGTTTTTTTTTTCTCACTATATTCTTTCTTCTCTCTCACTTTTTGTCTGAAATTTCTCTCTATCTGACTCGTTGTGTATTTGCTTACTGCAGGCGACGGCTGTTTCTACATCGGCATGGGAGGTAAAAGCGCGAAACCCAAGATTCCCTCCTATGAGCCCTACCAGTGCTGTCCTGCCAAGGTAGCCCACGGCACCAAGGTCGCCAAGCTCACGAAAGTCGGCCCGGCGGCCAAGGACAAGGGCAAAGTACAACGCGAGAAGCCTGAAAAGCTAGGACTGCCCGGCCTGAAGCCGATTAACAAGCTCACCGAGAAGGACAGCAAGAAAACCGCGACGATATCATCTATCAAATCTAGCGGCGGCGAGAAGAAGGACAAGAAGGGATTCTTCGGAAGCGGTAAATATCTGAACTGGCTGTGGTAATCGCGGAGTTAAATCACTGCCCACGCGCCGAATCCACAGAGGATCATCACGCGTCACGGAAGATTTGGAAAAATCTTCGAGAGTTAACGCCCGCTGCCGCGTTAACTCCGCTCGAACTACCAGCCTGAAATGAATCAATGTCCACGCGTAGTGGGCAGTGATTTGATCGGCACCGTAGCTGGACAGTGTAGTAGAGGGTGTGGTTAGAGAGGTAGAAACGAGAGTGTGCATCACAGCCGTTCGACGGGGCTGGAAACGATGAAACGGCGAGAGAAAGACGGCCGGCTGACGTGTCTCGTGTCTCGAATGCAGGTGTGTCGCGCGGTCCATGAAGATGATCACGAGCCGCAAGTTCTGGACGAGCAACACGATCCAAGATACGTGCCTAGGGAAGCCGGTGGACTGGCTCCTCGGATTCGTCGAGATTTCGCGACTGTTTCTATAGTCTTAGTTCGATCGACGATCTTGTATCTCGTACTACCGCGCGCCGGATACGTAACTGTTCTTTAATCAAATCGCAACGGAGGTATAACGGCGAACAAGTTCATCGCACGCGGGTTTATCATGTTTAATACGTAATTACGTTATTGTGTTGTACGTCAGAAGCTCGTTATAGCTCCGTTACAGTGTTTACCAGATCCTATCCCGTTTCCTACTACAAATGTGTACGTCTGTCCAAGAACCTTGTAATCGATCGGATCCGTGATTAAACTAAAAGAAAGGAAACGTCGGCTGCGAAGGGACGAAAGAGAGATAGTAAACGTGCCGTGGAAAAGTGTGACTAATCTAGATATCTAAACGAGACCGCGATGAGAGAAAGGATCGTGAAGATACGCTTTTTCTACGTCTCACTGAGAGTTTCGGTCGGGGTTCTGGCCTGTTGCAGTTGTGGCCGGGCTTCCGTACATCATGAAAGTCTAGGGCAGAGCAAGGGAACCGGCGGAGGCGAACGACAAAACGGATCAGAGAGAAAGAGAAAGAGAGAGAGAGATAGCCGGAGAAAACGGAAGTGAAGCTATGGAAAAAGGGTGGAATCATCCGGAACGAACAACGAAGAAGAGATATTATAAAAGTATCGTTTAACGAACGGACTTGTTCCTGAACTCGTGTCATCGTCATTTTGACTCGAAGCATCATCATCAGCATACGCGATCATCTTTCTCCTCAACGTTTATAATTCACGCGATCCAGTCACGCATACACCCCCCTCGCCTATCATTTAACATTTTCTGTAAATCTCAATATCTACTTCGCAAGATTCGTTTCACAAATATATTCGAATGATCGTTCCTACGTGAGAGTCTTCGCGCAGAACTGCGAACAGACCAGCGAACTCGTAGATAATGTATAAAGCGTTCTTAGTCAGAACGAAGTGATCAAAGTGCACGCGCACATCCCTCCCTTGTATCTTTGCCTTGTCGAGAAACAGAAGACTTGAGTGCGCGACGAGTCGACGATGGTCGTACACCCTGCCATTATTAATATTTTGCGTTTTTATTGTTAACGATCGCCGCGACTGCTGCCACGATACCGCCGTCCCATTGCATTTTTCATCAATAAGAATCGCGGGAGACAAGGGCCAATCTAGATCTCGCGGTGGGTCGCAGCCGTCGGACGTATCGTTCAGCTGTACTACTTGCATTGGTCGACACCGACCGGACGGTACATCGATTCACTCACGATCGGTTCGACCGAATTCTTATATGTATAATTCCTTGGTCAATCTGCAGATCTCTCGAGAGTATGTTTATGTCAAGTGCAACGCGAACGACGTGCACAGGTTTGTACTTTGTAGTCACTTGATATGATTATACGCGACGTATACTCGGTATACGTGGTCTGGAATAAACGACTGCTCCATCGACCGTTAATTTTCTTGATCTCATTCCGGAGTCTCGGGATTAAAAGTCATTCTTTGTCTCGTTTCAGATTCTGTGACTACGCCGTGTAGCATATTGTATCTGTCAGAGTTTGTAAGGGCTTGTTAGAGCATTGTTCGCTTTCCTTTATAGTTTTGTTATACATGTACAGACACGCTATACGATATCACCGATTTTGTACATAGTATCACCGATCCTCGTTCGATCACCGCTCGCATACTGTATATACATGTACACGCGTACACTTGTATAGAGACACACAGCTGTTCTATTTGAGAGTGCTACCCCTGGTATCGTGGCTAAGACATAAACATACCCTAATTGAAAATTCCTCAACAATAAAACGTCGAGGGACACGTGCGTTCCTCGTCACACCGCTATCACTAATCGCTTGATTGCTTACTGGGCCGCACGAGCCAGCCACTAAACAAAATCGAAACCGAAAAAAAGATGGGAAAAAGAAAATCGAAAAAAAAAAAGAAATGAATTAATCTTGTTATTTTCCTCCGCTTTCGTACGGTTCCCCGTGATGAGACAGAGACCGTCGAAAGGAAAGGACGAAAGCGCTCACGTTGATTATTAATTTATTTATTTATTTATTTATTTGTTGATTTCTGTACTCGTTCTCACCGAGCATCGTACGATCGAAATCTGTACAAAACTATGCTAGCATTAGAAGCTCTTTGGGTCGCGATCACCGAATCTAGAGCGCGGCGATTGTCGATAGAAATTTTTTTTTAACTCGGAGACGTTGACACGACACGATCTATCTCGCGTGAATAGTTTGATTGTCGCTCAAAGTTTGTGATCGCGATCATCACTGTGTTCTATCGCTCGTTAAATAAACACTTTTGCGCACTTTCTGCCGTAAGGCGTTACTTAATCGCATAAGAGCAACATGTACGATAATAAAACTCGATAATAAATATGTTTCCTAGTACCAATTAGTATCCTTTTGTATTTGCTTCGCCCGTATCGCTAATGGTAGACGTAGAGTAGCCCCTTTGTAATTCGTCCGGACTACAGGAGTTTGTTTCTGATTTTTAAAAGCTTCACATGTTCCATCATCGAACATCGAGAGGAACGTAGTATTTCGTAGGTAAATGGTACAAGCAGATCAGTAAGAATTTTCAATTCGACTATAAGATAAACTAGAAATCTCCAGTTTTAATAACGATTATGGAAGAGAATAGCCATTCCAGATCCTTGATAAAGGCGAAAGCCTTTTGTTAGTTTTCCGTAAGGATGAAAGTAAATTCGAGCAACGTTATGGTAACTTAGGTAATCTGCTCGACGAAACCGAAGTGCTCGATTGGATGGTGAAGCAGAAGACGGACGAGAGCATCGAGGAAATCGATCGTGACACGCTAACCAAATATATCGAGACGAAAGAATTCCTGGCTGTCGTTTTCTGTAAGATACAAATTCACATTTCTTGTCCACGCAGAAATGAGTTAATGAATCGTAGATTAAGTTATCAGATTCGTAGATTGACTTTCTTTAGTAGAATTCAATGATCGAACGTTGAAAAATCGATTGAGAAAGGGTAAGGATAATCGCGTGTTGAAAACAAAAGAGATTCTCGGTCCTGTAGACAAGGAGGAGGATCCTGAGAGTCCTAGGATACTCAGGCACGTCGAGTTGATCGACGACGAGGCTGCCGAGTACGGGATAAAGATCGTCAGGATGAAGGATCGGCTAATGGCGAAGAAGTACGGCTTCCGGAATCCGCCCGGTATCACGTACTTCCGCAAGGGGAAGAATATTAACTACGACGGAGACGTCGACGACGAGGAAGAGATCCTCGATTGGCTGACCAATCCGGAGAACATGGAGCTCACCGATCATATCGAACGAATAAATAAGAAGATGTTCCAAAAGATACGACAGACCACTGATTACTTGGCAGTGTTCTTCTGTGAGTATCTCTCCGGGCAAGCAATCAAATTTTAATAACTAACGAACTGCAAATTCGATGCATTCAGAAACATAGAAATTACATTCGATATACGAGAGCATGAGAATTTAAAGAAATTCCTGGCTACATTTTACTTTTGCATGAGAATCTGCAGTCTCAAAGATAAGAGATTTCCGAGCATGTCGAAAGCGAAGCCGCGCGTATGTTTAGACAGCAACGACTGCAAACAGTGTGGCAGGGTGCTGTCGGAAATCGAGCACATCGACGACGAGGCGGACAACGCGGGGATAAAGTTCGTCAAGATCGACGACAAACAGCTGTCCAAGCAGTACGGCGTCTTCGCGTTGCCAGCGATATTATTTTTTAAGATGTCCTCGAAGGAACCAGTCATTTACGCAGGTACGATGCGAGTCGACTCAATTCCGACTGTTTGGTTCAATCAAATGATTTTTATTTAAAGGGGACCTTTACGACGAGGAACAGATTCTGCAGTGGCTGATGACGCAGAAAGACCCGTCCGGAGAGGTAATCGAGGATTTAGAAGGAGAAGAACTCTTGAATTTAATAAGAGAATCGGAATCGTTGGCGGTGTACTTTTGTAAGTCTGACAGTCCTTCAGGAACGGCCAACTGCCAAGCAGGAATGTATCTCTAGCCTGTTGCGCGGTACTATTTACCTACTTCTACTATCCTTCACATTCCATATCCCATTCTTCTTTCCACGTTCACACCTGATTATATATAAATATTTTCATTCAAGTTTCTTCCTTTCCTTTTTCTTTCCTATTTCCATATCTCACAATTCCTTCGTCCTGTTCTATGTACTATATTAATGCTGCTACGTCGACTACTCTTTGCTAAAGAGAATAACAGCTGACCGCAGCCAGCAATTATTATCGTATGTAATTAATTGAGACAGCATACAGCTGTTACGCGGCTCGAGACTAAACTTATGTACATAGATTCGTACGTGAACTCGTCTATACGTATGCGTATATTTGTGCTTGATCTATGTCGCAACAGATTAACAAGACTTTGTATTTTCTTTTACTTTATTTTCACCACGTTGTCCGTCCGTCCTTTGTCACACGTCTCTTCTACGTATAATATGATCGTTGCTACTTGGCCTGTCTTTTATTTATTCTCTCTCGTTTCTGTCCTCGTCCGTACGCTGTACACGTTGTCTGCTAATGCCGCAGGGAACAGAACGCTTTGCGAGTTGTGTCAGGCAAAATATCAGCGCAAGCAGACACGGCACAGGGAGCGCAGGAGTCCCGAGCAAGAAGCAGCACTCGAAGAACTCGACGGTACACGTTGAACACGGAGAAAGAGACAGACGATTATTGAGTTACCGTCCCGAATTTTTCTTCACCACTTTAGAACATGTTCCAGATAGTTCATCTCCGTGTGCACCACCCAGAACATTATTCACAAATTAAACATTCACGTTTCTCCAACAAATACTCTTCTAGAGATCGGCGCTGTTTTTATCCGATCGCACTTTTTCAACGAGTTTTTTCAGCTGGAAAACGATCCACGGTGTTTTTGTATTCTTGATGAAAGACGAATATTTTTCATAGGTCGATCGACACGATATTTTTCCATTTACACTGTTACACAGCGACACACAGGTGTACCTGCACGATTAGAAAGCATGAAGAGAAGGCAGAAACTATGATAGCTATCCTAAACCATTGCTGACCAGCATGCCAGCCAGTATTTTCGTATGCCCACGTTTTAATAGATGTAGTATTACGCCTGTAAGCACAAGAGATCATTCATACATTTGTTTCGTTAGTCGTCGCCTGTAGACAAGACAGGCTGACCGCTTTAATTAGATCATCCGTTCGATATCTCTACCTAATCAAAATAGACCGCTGTCTTTCGAGTAGAGACCTTCGATACGCTTCCGTGAATCTTATAACGATACAGTGTCTCTTTAGATGTGGAAGACTGCGACCAATGCATGGGGATTCTCGAAGAACTGGAAAACATTGACGATGATTGCGATCGACACGGCATTACCTTCGTCAAAACGCAGGTGCGTACAGATTTCCTCAGTAATTAATTTCATTGATAACTCGTTTTCCAACGCCTCTTCTATGGATACGTCGCTTGAAGCTGGGGTGAAAATTTCTTCATAATTTTTGTAGGACTATAAGGTGGCAGAGGATTACGGAGTCATCGAGTTTCCCGTACTGGTCTACTTCGAGAATCAAATACCAAACGTGTTCGAAGGTATCCTTTTGATGAATTCAACTGTTTACCGTGTTTACTGCATATTATTTTTCCACAGGGGATTTAAAAGTGGAGGAAGAAGTTCTACAGTGGTTGATTACGCAGAAAACAGAGGATCGTATAGAATTAATTACCCGAGTGATGTTAGAGACGTTCGTCGAAGAAACACAGTATATCGCGGTCTATTTCTGTAAGATTATTCTTTATTTATTAAGATATCCTTGGCAATTGTGAAAAAACTGTTGAATTGCAGACAAGCAGAACTGCCATATATGCGACGAAATTTTGGAGGGGCTGGAGAAAGTCGACGACGAGTGCGACGTATTCGGAATTCATTTAGTAAAAATTCAGGACCCTCAACTGGCCAAACGATATTCCATTAAGACGTTCCCCGCACTGGTCTACTTCAGAAACGGCAATCCACTTTTGTTCGAAGGTTTCTGTCTCTCAGCTCCATAATTAATTTAATCCGCGTTTTACTTATTTTCTGCAATGATTCTAAAGGCGATTTGCAAAACGAGGAGTCGGTCCTCGAATGGCTGATCGACGATGACAATCGAGAACTGGCGGACGAGATTGAATCGGTGAACGAGAGAATGTTGGAGAGACTTATGGACGAATCACCGTTCCTAGCCGTCTTCTTCTGTAAGTTATCCGAACTCTGAAAATACTTGTCTCTTGCTCAGATCTTAATTGAAATCAGATGACGAGGACTGTCCCGAGTGCGACGAGATTATGGAAGCGTTGGAAAAGATCGACGGCGAAGCAGACCTGTTTGGTATCGATTTCGTAAAAGTCCTCGGCACGGAGGTTGCAGAGAAGTACGAGATCATGAACGTTCCATCGTTGGTCTACTTCCGCAAGAAGACACCGTTGATGTACGACGGTGATCTGACTCAAGAGGACAAAATCCTCCAGTGGCTGACGTCTCAGGACGTGTTCGAGATCAAAAACGAAATCGAGGAAGTCAATAAAAAGATGTTGGATAAACTTTTGGACGAGAACGAATTCCTCACTGTATTTTTCTGTCAGTATCAACAGATATTTCCGATACGACTGAACGAACTGCGTATTGCAACTGCGTTTAATTGTATGTCCAGACGAACCGAATAATAAGGAGAGCGAAGAGGTGAGCGAGAAATTGGAGAACATCGACGGAGAGACGGATAACTTGGACATCACGTTTGTAAAAATGGCAGACCCGAGATACGCTAGGAAATGGGGTGTTACCAAGCTGCCTGCGATCGTCTACTTTCGAAAAAGATTTCCCAGCATCTATCGAGGTAAAATTCTTTATAAACGTTCTCTGTTTTCTCGTAATCACGATTATTTTTCAACAGGCGACCTGCACAAGGAGCAAGACGTCTTGGACTGGTTACGCAAGAATAGGTACCGTCAGCCAGAGCTGAACATCTACATGTACATGCTGATCGCGATCACGGTTCTCTTCACAATGTACACCGGCTTTCTGTTATCGTGTTTCCGGTCGGAACCGGCGACGCCCGCGGTGCATCCAAAGCAAGCGTGAACACTCGTGTGTTAGGTAAAACCGAGAAGTGAAAGATAGAGAGAAAGGTACGGAGAGTAAGAGAGTGCGAAAGAATGAAAGGGAAGAGAAGTTAAAAGATTTATGGATTGTTGACGCGCGAGTGTACGTTCTAGTTGTTGTTGATCCGACTCGCTTTTAAGATTAAATCGGCGGCCGTTCGTCCGGAACGAACGATCCGTAATCGAGGCTCGACGATTCTACGAGGATGACGACGACGAAACCTGTCTACTACTTCGCTTAGACGATGAACGAACGATTATGATGATAGGTACATACATATCTTGCGCCGTAATAACGGTTCGAGTTATCCGTGGATACCGTGAACGCGTGGTATGCTTGCTCAACGTGGACCAAACCCATGGAATTTTCTATGTGAAATTCAGACCTCTGTCAAAGATAAGAAGGATGGCATGAAGCGACGATTGCGGGTGTTCGCTCGAGTTTTATTCCAAGCGTATTATCGTTACGTGTATAAGCGTACATCGTATCGGTAATCGTGTATTACTCTGGATCGCGTTTGAATCACCGTACGGCGACCGAGTCGTTTGATATAATTACATTTATCGTATTGCTTTGTAACGATAGAGATATTACGTTGTATCGTATTCCATTCACTTTGTATTAACTTTATGCTGACTCGACGATTTTTTTGTTGCGTTTTTAGGGTGAATAAAATTGATCGACACACGTGTATTCTGTTATTTTGCTGCTGTTCATGGAACGTTGATAGCGATTTCGATCGACGATGATTTCTTTTCATTTGATTTTATCGTAATTACAGTGAGATCAATTGACAGTGGTCTCTCGATCATCTACGGTCCACGTGTAATTCAATGTCACCGTGTTCTGTCGGATTCTACAACCAAGATAAATCATCGCCGACCTCAACTGAATAAAACGAAAGAGTGAATAATGTATACGAGACGGCAGAACTGCCTAACTTATAATGTCTAGGATGTTAACACGATTATGAGGAATAAAGTGCGAACCCTTGGACCAATTTCAAACTGCTTGAAGCATCACTTTCATCTTATCATTATAATATAATATAATACTAACGTAAGTACTGGGTATACAAGAAGATTCATCAACTAATGGTTTTGTCTTTTTTTTGCCAAATGAGGAATCCTGAGGGTGGATATTTAATACCGGGAATTATTCCCTCGACTAATTTATGCCACTATTTAGTAATCTCTCTTCGGTGATAGTAATAAAAGAGATAAGAAAAATTCTGATATCATTTTGATTAATAACTGAATGGAAACAAATCTCACTACTTTCTTTTCACCATCCTTGACCAAATGACCAATCCTAATTATTTTATAATGCCGATAAGAAGAAAATATGAACCGAAAGTCGAAACCGTGGTTTTGAACACGCATGTGAAGTTCTCGGCTCTTCGGTAGCGATGGGCACTATCGACTAATTTAAAGTATCGACTACCTAGGGAATAATCGCATCATACTATCGACTAATTAGTCGATAGTTTTTAGT